GCTTATGGGCCAGAATTGGGCTGTTAAACATCACAATTTGAAAACAATCTGAGATTTCTAATGTCATCAAGGAATTTAAGGCTAAGTCTAGACCAGTAAGCAAGATAGGGCCAGGACATAATCTTGATCATCTATATTGTTTAAACAGCCTGTGTTTTCTCTGGCATAGCTTTGTGCTTAACACACTGATAATTCAGGCGATAGCATAAATTGGGGTCAGTTTCCTCAAGGCAAAATGCCTGATAAAACTCAGTTTTGGGAAGGATGTAAGCTAATGTAAGATAGCCTGCTGTGTGTATGCAGGCTATCAAGGCCAGAGAACAGGCCTAAAATATTTGATTGACTGTTCTAGGTGTGACACAGAACTCTTCATTAGCTACAAGGACCATATCAAATTTAACAGAATCATAGAATCTCATGAGATGGAAGGCACCCAAAATAATCATCAAAGTCCAACTCCCAGTCTTGCACAGAACAGCTCCAAGAATCACATCATGTGTCTGAGAGCATTGTCCAAACCCTTCTTGAACTCTGTCAGGCTTGGTGCTGTGACCACTTCCCTGGGGAGCTGTTCCAGTGCCCAACCAGCCTCTGGGTGAAAAACCTTTTTCTAAAATCCAACCTGAATCTCCCCTGACACAATTTCAGGCCATTCCCTTGGGTCATGTCACTGGGACCACAGAAGAGAGATCAGTGTCTGCTCCTCCTCTGCCCTTCACAAGGAAGCCCAGATAGCAATGAGGTCTACCCTCAGTCTCCTCCAGAGTGAACAGACCAAGTGACCTGATCTGCTCCTCATGTGGCTTCCCCTCAAGGCCCTTCATATCTTTGCTGCCATCCTTTGGGTGCCCTCTAATGCCTTTATACCTTTCTTATATTGTGGAACCCAAAGCTGCCCCCAGCACTGGAGGTGAGGCTGTCCCAGCTCAGAGCAGAGCAGGACAATCCCTCCCTTGCCTGGCTGGCCATGCTGTGCCTGATGTCCCCAGGACAGGGTTGGCCCTCCTGGCTGCCAGGGCACTGCTGGCTCATGGTCAGCTTGCCATTGACCCCAGGTCCCTTTTTGTGGTGCTGGTCTCTAGACTCTCATTTCCCAGTTGGAATGTACAATCCCCATGCCAGGTGCAGAATCCAGCACTTGTCTGTTAAAATTCATATGATTGGTGATTTACCAGACCTCTAATTTGTCAGTCTCTCTGCTGAGCCTCTCTTCATTCAAGGGAGTCAGGAACTTCTGCTAATCTAGTATCATCAGCAAACTTACTTAGAATACCTTTGACATCACAGATATCTGTCAGTCTGACTCTCCTCAGCTGGCTAACACGGTATATTTTTAAGAATACTATTTATATATATTACAAATATACATAGATATCTTACTGTAATTTCTTTTCTAATGTCTTATTTTTCTCTTGTTTTTTTTTTTTTAAAGGACTTTCTGCTTTAGCTTTAACAACGTATTCCTCAAAAATTTATACATCTTTCCTTTTTCTTTTTTCACTGAAAACTGTAGTATCTGAAAAGATGTTTACACTGAGATCTGTCTGCAGCACTGTCTTGTTTCCTCAAGAGGTTTCCTGGGCAATGTTCCTGAGTCAGCTTTGCCCTTCATCCTGCTCTTGTTGATAGTTTGGTCCTGTTAAGCCAAAGGCAATAGCCTGGCTGCCACCTTCACTCTGCTCTTGCTGTAGGCTGTGGGCTGCCATAGAGCTGGGGTTGTGTGTTGATGTTGTTCTTGTTTTGGCTCTAATAATGGTATTATTATGTCATTATGCACATATTTGGACTAGGATAATTACTTTATTCCCCCCTTTATTTTATTCTTCACCCCCCCCCCCCCCCCGCCAGCATCTGGCTGTATACTCTCTTTGCTGAGGATATTTTAAAAATTATTATTATCTTATAAGACACCTTGAGAACCGTATTTTTACTGCATATCTATTCAATAACTCATACAATTTCTTAAATTACTTTTATATAATGTCTGTTTTAAAATACTGTTGAACATATTTAACTGGATGTGTGTGAGATGATATTTGTGTAAATGTACATATAAAGAAAACTTCCAGTTATTTCTGTCTCCTGTTAAGGAGAAAGGTTGTATGATTTACTCTCTATATTTTACTCTGAGGCCAACCTTTCTATTACCCCAAAAAGGAGCCAAATCTGACATACAATACTCAGTTTTTTCTGAGAAGAATCCATTTGTGTCACTGTCAAAAGGAAGGCTGGGTAGAAGGATGTTTTCTACTGGAGTGGGTATCAAGTATCTGCCAAAAAAAATAGCGAATGAGAGTTTGGATGGTCAGAAAGGATTCAGAGTGCTGATGAAGGAAGTGTTCATGACCACTCTAGGCTTATTATGAGGCACTATAAACCACTCAGAACTCTCCTAGTATGTATTTCTCAAAGCTCTTTTGCTAAGAGAAGAATTGCAAAACAACAAAGTCCCTGCTATGGGATGGCTTTCTCTAAGGGCTGTTTGCTGGTGAGGATTGTAGCAAAGATGTCTTCTCTGCTGCTTTTAGAGAAAGAGAAAACCCCCCAAGCCTTTAAGTGAAGAAAATAGTTTTAGAGCTCTATTGGGGGGGAAAAAAATAGAGGTTTGTGAATGAATTTTTAGTATCAGCCACCTGTAGTAGTATTTGGTATATCCACTCAAATTTAAATCCCTTTCTCCTCATTTGAATTCCCTTTCCTACATTTCTCAAAAAGTTGGCAAAGAGAAGGTGTCTGACTGAAGCCTACATCATTACTGGCAGGAGTACACAGCAAAACTTTTTGTTACACTAAAGTCTTTAGACAGCAGCCAAGAAGCAAACTTTAGTAATTCATAGTACTACCAGAGCTAACTGCACAGTGAAACTATAGCGACTGACCTCTTTAAACACACTGATTTCTTTAATAAGGGCAACTATTGTATTGCATTCCACTTAAATAGAACTATACATCTTGGAAAGAACACAAAAAGCATCTCAAAGGCACATTCAACTCAGGAAATGGTGACTTTCTCTTCTGTGTAACTTTTATATTAAAATGCAGACTACTTCTGTTTCCACTGATAGGACCTTTATTGCATGGCAATATCACTTATAAAACAATGCATTAACTACTATTTTCCGTATGATGGGAACTCACTGATTTTCTGGGTATTATTTTTGAAAAAAATGGATCACTGAAATAGGTTGCTCTGCAAGCAGTGAAAAACTTACTTCCCCCACCAGCCTGTATATGCGAATGAGCTTCTACTAGAAGAGATTAAATAATGACTTCTTCTGCAGTCTTTCCCCAAACAGGCATTCATAAGACCTCTCTCCAGGGATCTGTTTTCAAAACAGTTTTAGAAACTAAATAGCTTTAGTTTCCTACTGCTTTGTCAAATTGGATCTGATTTTTAAAAAAAACCTGAAAATAGAGAGACCTGACAGAAAGTATACATTAATAATATTTCCTTTGAGGACTTGGATTAAAAATAGTATTACTGGATAAGGGGGTCTAATTTTCTGATACTTAGTATAATTTTGCTCAAGATAAAGTTGAAGGTACTAGCTCTTCACAGTGATGTTTTTTCTAGACCTTTAGTATTTTTTACATGCAAGATAATGTTGAAACTGAGATCTAGTTTCTGTGTCATCTGATTTCTTTGAATTCTTAGAGGTGTTAGTTTGATAAAATATACAGTGTGTTATAATCTAAAAAGTAAGTTAACATAGTGCTAGTAATACACAGAAATAAAAATTCTCTTTTACTGTTTCCTTGCCTTCCTCTTTACCCACATCCTATCCCATTCCTCCCTTGGTGATAAATGTAACAGTGAGAGTCAGTGTGTATTAACATATAACAACAAAGAGGGTAAGAAAAAAGCTTTCAGGTTACCACTGTGTTCAATCTTCTGTGATTGCATGTCCAGGCAAGGCCACTATGGATCCTTCTCAGCTTTGTTTTGTGCTTCTCCATCTGCTGATCCAAACTCTCATTCATATTTTTGCTTTTAACTTCCCTGAGAAGTACAGTCAGTATTTTTTCAATGGTAAGATCTACTTCTGCTATGAACCAGCTCTTAGCTTTCGCCCTGGGTTGTGGCTAAGCTAGGAGTCTTCATTTACTTTTGAGTGGACTGCATTAATTCCATAGATAAGTTATTGACAGAATACGTACTGCAAAAAACTTCATAAAGAAGCAATAATGCCTTCCTTTTATGAAATAGATTTCAGGCCATTATAGGTAAGGGAAAAGGAGTACATTTTTTTTCTATACTCAGAAGAATTTGCTCTAGAGACATTTGCTGAGCACTAAAGATCTAGCAACAGCCTTTGCATGTATTTGAAAATCTGTGAAAAGCAAAAATATTCATTTTAGCCTTTCTATATTGGTGATTTAACAAAAAAATCCCTTTCCCCTGGGTTCCAGAAATATTCCATAGTTTTGTGGATTGTTGATGTGGAAATGGAGAAAAAACCTATGGGTGTTAATTACTGTACAATTATTGAGCTAAAGCAGATTACTGAGAACATCCTTGAAATATCTGAATGTTTAGTAACCAAAACTGGGCTTCTGACTGACGTTCTTTTCTATTCAGTAATGAATCAGGTGTCTATTTCCCAGAGGGATGTATGCTATTTGTGTGTATATATGTGAGAAGAAGAGGTGCACAGCACTGACAGCAGAACTGAAATTTTCCAAACAAAAAGTGATTCTATGATATATAGATGCATTAATTCTTTGGTATACTTTTGCTGGTAGTAAGTTTTAAGTCAATCAGTAAATAAGAGCTTGTTACTTAAAACACAATTTTGATGAGTCAAGTATTTTTACAGTGGAGCAATCAAGAACCTAGAATTAAAGTTTCTCCTTTTCCCTCTTAAAAACAAAACCCTACCTGTGTGATTAGCTGCTTTTACCCTCCAGTCTCCCAAAACCTTCCATCTGAAACCTGTCCTTTTCTGTCTTCCCCTTTTTTACTCTTTGTCTGCACTGTTTATCCGTCAACTGGCTGACAGTGTCTTTACATCCAAAATGCAAAGCAGACAGATGGCCGTCTCAGGAAAGAACATGACAAAGAGCACCAGCATCAGTGGGGAGATGTACACGCTGGAGAAGAACGACGGCAGCCAGTCGGACACGGCAGTGGGCTCTGTAGGAGGCGGCAGCAAAAAGAGACGCTCCAGCATTGGTGCAAAGATGGTCGCCATCGTGGGGCTGTCGAGAAAAAGCCGCAGCACGTCACAGCTCAGCCAAACTGGTAGGAACTAGATTTTTTTTTTTTTTCCCCTCAGATTGCCATTTAAATGTACATATTTCTTATGTGTTACAGTTTAATGATTTGAAGATCCTGTTGAAGTTGCTTCATCAACAATATTCTATGGAATGAAGAAAATGATCAATTATCGTTTTTTTTCTGAATATTTACAAAACTTTTTTTTTTTTTTTTTTTTTAATACAGATTCTTTTCATGTTGGACTGAAGTGCTTTTTTTCTGCTTGCTGGAACCTGCTTAATACATTAATTCCTTACTTTTCAGCTTTTCAGGAACCAACATGAGCTGTACTTCCATTTGGGGGGATTCTTTACTGAAGTTTGTGAAGGGTCACTGGAATGTTACAGGATGTCTTTGGTTTTGTCACAGATAGTGTTTGCATATTTCAACATAAGGTTTTTTTCACCTTTAAACATGCAACCTTATTTTGAAACAAATCCCTTTTCCTGAACGAAGCTATATGTTATATTACTTTAGTGCAAATATTTTATTGCTTTTAATTGCTTTTTTTTTCAGTCTACAAGTGTATTCGCCATCAGTAGATATTTTCCTCATTTCTCTCAATTCAAATTGGATACTTCAGTGTGCTGCCTAGGAAAATGGAGAGTTTCTTCTGCTTTGATGCCTAAAGCATTTTAAATCTTAAACATTTTTTCTATTGCTTCCTATTTTGGTGAAAATCCATATAATGCACTCTGAAAAGCTCAATGTCAAATAATGACACTGTATAGGACTAGTGTATTTTATATTGGAAAGAGTTACTTTTATTTGAAAAACATTCACTTAAAAGAAGTGTTTAAGCAATTTATATAAGTATGCATATATATAATATATTTCAGTGTATATACAGAAGATGTACTGTATGCTCAGCATTTAAGAAAAACTGTTGGTGATGTTGTCATATGGTTCAATGTAAATTTACATTGCCCTGCTGTGTGAGGTTCCATCTGAAGGTCTCCAGTGGTGCTGACCACCATTCAAACACGGATAAGAGATTTCTCAATTTTTTCCAAACCAAAGTGATAAGACTTTATGGAGCAAAAGAATGATTTGCACTGCCAGAAACTGGTAAATTTTTTAAGTAAACTTTTGGGAGGTGTGGGCGGGATTTCAAGTACTGTAAAGAGTAGAACTAAAAAAGAAAAGAAAGAAGGAGAGGTAACAGTGCAGAAGAGCGTAGGGAGCTTGACTGTGTGACTTATTGAATGCAGTATGAACAGGAGGGAATGAAGAAGAAGGGAAAGCATGTATATAGAGAAAGTTCTGAATATCATGCAGACATTGGTGACTCCATCAGTAAGCAAGTCTGTGCAGCCATCTTGTTTCTTACCAGCTCACTTGCAGGTTATGGAAAATGCAGGTTCATGTACATTTCTATTTTCTTTGAAATAAATGACAAATAAACGATGAAGTCACCTTTAGAAAAATCTGGAAGTGTCTGGTTAGGCAAGAAAAAGAATGAATCACTTGCTCACCTGGAAATCTAAATTTTTGTCTTGTGATAGTACAGAGCTATGTAACTGTATAGATGCATTTGAATATCAAATTGTATACAATGCACTACATTACTTTTTATGATCTAATCTGGTCTCTCTTGCCATAAGAGATATTAAATGAAGGATGTCAGCTCTTTGTACATTGCTCAAGTAAGTCTCAGCACTAGAGAGAATCTGTTTTGTGTGTCTGGTCTAGATCTGATTTAAATACCACTCTGCCTTTGTTATTTGGTGCTTTTAAGCAGGAGTTTTTCTCTCTATCCAATCAGTTGCCCAATGACTGATTAGATGCTCCAGTCAGGGACAAATGTGAAGTATAACTGTCTCAAAGAGTACTCACAGCCTTGAGACTCACTGACTGTGAGTAGGGTGTTCTGACAGACTCTTGGGTGGGGAGCTGTAATTCAGTGCTGTTAGAAGAGCAGCAGGAGCTGAGGAGCCTGCATGGCTCTGGCTAGCAGCCCCTGTCCCTTGGCTGCTCCCTGGGACAGGCTGTGCTCAGGGCTGGCCTTGCCTGGCCCCAACCGGGGCAGCCAGTGCAGCTCCTGCTGCCATCTCCTGAGAAAACCCCTCGTGTTGGCTGGATATGGGGTACAGGTAAGGGCTGAGGGTTGTTTTATTGAGCTGTTACTGCACACCTGCTCCTGCTGCTCTATTTGACAAGTGTCTCCCAGGGGCCCTGTCTGGTGGCCACATGTGGCTGCTGCTACAGGACAGGCACAAGCATCTTTAGCTAGCTGGGTCACACAAGCATTGCTGGTTGTGGTGAGCAGACCCCTGGCCACACACTGGGCCCTGGATGAGGTGTGTGGATGGTGCTGTGTCTTCAGTGACACAACGTGATGGCTGGTGAGGGTGAGGTCACACCATGAAGAAATACCTTGCATGTCTTCAGATCCTTCACAATGAGGATGAGGTGAGACACTAGAACAGGCTGCCCAAAGAAGCTGTGGATGCCCTATCCCTAGAAATGTGCAAGACAAGGTTAGATGGGGGTCTGAGCAAGTGGAGGGTGTCCCTGCCCCCCCACACTGTGTTGTTGCTAGACGGTGTTTAAGGTCCCTTCCAACCCAAACTGTTCTGTTTCCTTTCATTGATACATCTTACAGAAAATGTTGGACACCAGCATTGATACCAGACAATTAAAACTTGCAACTAAAGTGTTTAATGAATATATAAATTTCTCTGGCTTGTCTCATCATGTTCCTTTTCTCAGATGGTAGGTGCCTGCACAAGGAATCATTCTATTGATACAATGTGGAAGCAAAATACCAATTTCATGTAGGTGTCCTGTAAGTACAGTTTTCTGGAACTGAGAGGCAGGAGATATTCAGGTGTCAGGGACGTGGTACCATATAGGAACTGGTTTAAGTATAAAAGTTTCTTGGGTACTTTCTGAAGATATTATATCATTCAATGGGCTGGCTAAGTATCTGCTTACATACCAGGCTTGAAAAAGCATACCAATACCAGAAGATAACACTACTTCTGTAGAAAGTTGTGTTCTCATATAGAAATCAGTGTAGAAATGACTATCTGTATCTCTGAAGTTTTTTGCAAGTGTTTTGTAAAGTATAATTTTACTTCAGTGGTTTTCTTCATTCATATTTTATAACTAAATCTATGCCAGAAGTTTTTCTGAAAGTAGGTCGTCATAACTGTTTTCAGGACTGTGTATCAGACTTACATGCCTTATAAGGTCAATTTCAAATGTCTTTTAAAATTATATTTCTATTGTTTATTGTTATTTGTCATAGTGCTAAGAAGTCGACACTCAAAATAGATACAGAAATGTATTTTTTTCCTTCTGGTCTGTAGTCCTTTTCAGGTAGGAACAGTTGTTTTATGGGTAGAGAGAATGACACAAAAGTAATTTTTCTTAAGGTAGCTTTTATTTAAGACTTCAGTAAATGACAAGATAAATTAGAATTTAATTTATTTCTGGTTCCTGTACCTTTCCAGTGCTCCAAAAATAACTAAAGGTATACTCCATATTCTTGAGTGAAGCTTTGAATTCTAGAAGCTAACATTTAATGGGTTAGAAGAAGTTTATGGTATAACGTTCAGGTCCTGATTCCACAGCCATTCTTCCTTGTGGAAAAGACAGCTTTCGCTACAGAGGGAAATAGAATGCAAAATGCAATTCTTAACAGGCTTATCTATTCATATCTGGAATGAAATTATTTTCCTGCTGATCAGCCCTGAGGGAACTGATGATCAGACTTCTACAGAGATGCAGACCTAATTCTCAGTTATATTTCATTAATGAGTAAAATCTTTGCCATCCTCTCATTATGCAATCTTAGGGATCCCTTTCAATTTACATGCACTGTCTCTGGCAGGCAGATACCTGGGTGCTTTCACTTCCCTTATTTAGCTGTCATTTCTCTTTTAGTGAGGTAAGTATTTTCTTTAGTTAGCCAAAACTTATTGTGTTTGTAGGCTGTTTATATCCAAGAGCCAAAACAGTTCAATGCATGTTTTCAGAATCTGGGGCACTCCATGGATCATATCTAGTAAAACATCAAGGATGTATGTTCAGTCACCCATACAGGGTCCAGCACACTCGCAGAGACCGAGTCCCGTCATGTCTTTGGGCAAGCGATTACTGTAGATGGAATCTATTAAAAGAGTTGAAAAAAAGAGAAGTAACAGCAGGACTTGAGAGTGACCAATGCAGTAATGCCTGCAGAGAGGTGTAACTATGTTTGGGTAGACATCACTGCCCTCGTGTATCTCTGGAGAATTTTGCTCCAAGGTGCCGCGCTCAGAGGGCCCTGCACGCGTACACGCAGCAGGTGCTGCTGGGGCACTGATGCTGCATCAACTGCACTTGCTTTGTTGCAACACGTTGTTCCATGTCACCTAAGAACTCTTGATAGGATGCCATATGAGGCATGAAGTTATAGGGCTGCAGAAGTGGAATTTTGAGATAGTGTTATGAGATTTTTTGACATCCTTCGTAATTTTGCTGAGGTTAAACTTCACCATACATAACTGAAGTTATAGTTCTCTGCAGGAAAAGTACAAACAGCAGTTGATTCTGTGCAAGTGAAATAATGACTAATGTTGTGTGAATTCAACAGTTTTTATCAAAATGAGGCATTTCCATTTTAACAAATTCTGGTGAAGTCCAAAGTGAAAAGACTTTAAAGTATTTAGAAATGTTGATATTTCATTGCTATATCTTAGAAGAAATTCTCTGAGAATTAGGTCTCAGAGCAAAAAGTTGAGTGAGATTTTATTTTATTTGTGTTTAAAACCAAATTTTGTGTACTGTGTGGTTTATAGGGTGTTGAAACTGCAGTCTGAAGTGCTGTACTTATAAGCAGAACAGTCTCACTTATGTCTGTAAGGATCCGATGATGTAGCCTGCAGAGCTGTTTCCTCAATTTATGGAATAATTGAGGGGAATCTGTTGGTAACATTGGTCTTGGTGTGGCATTGAACTCCACATTTCTCAATTCAAAATTTGATTTTTATAAAAGA